TGTGTGTGTGTGTGTGTGTGTGTGTGTGTGTGTGTGTGTGTGTGTGTATCAGAGAGAAGAGAGAGAGCAGAGACAGAGAGAGTGTATGTACAGGTGTTCAAGACAGAGAAAGGAAAAAAATTGCAAGACACCCAAAAGGATTTTGATTTTCATAAATAGATCTCTTGGCAGATTTCATGTAACGGTGGGATGATTCATTAACAGTTTTGCTAAGAATTTTTGTGCCTTCATGAATTTGCCTCAGCCCACTTCCTCAGCCTTATTTCATGCCACTTCCTTCTTATTGAGTCTCTCCCCTCCCTCTCCCTGCCTTGCCTACCCACGTTCTGGGCCCACTAGACCACAAGCCACCAGAAAGTTCCATGGTGTTTCACTCTTTTTTCGCTCTGTTTCTTCAGTATCTTCCCCGTGAATCTTCAGACTTTTCCAGGGCTGCTTAGAAAGACAGGTCCTCCACTAGCGTCCTTGTCTGTGCTTCCTCCACTGTCTGAAGTTCGCCTTAAGGCTTTGCCTTCAGGTCAGCATTGCACTGATTGTTATCTTATTTTTTTTTTTTCTGTCCGGCCGCACTCACAGAGCGGAGTTCCCTGTCTCTCCGGGCGCACAGAGCTGCTGAAGATATTGACTGAAATGAACATTTGTCACATTTTTTTATGCATTTCGTTACATAACTCTGATTCCACTTCCTACTTTCGTGCTCCTTGAGTCCTTGTGGGGACTGCTCTGAGGGAGCTCGTGGCAGTAATTGTCCTCAACTGTTGCCCTGCTTCTTTTCCAAGGGCCCAGTCTTCGTTTTAGCCTCACGGCACCAAATGGACAACGGCTTCAAGAAACGTGAGACATGATGTGATGACATTAGACTTCAGGAATAAATGGCACCCGTCCATCATTGTATTTTAAAGGCAGTTACAAGCGTACTACCTAGCTATCCGTACACAAGCTATATCCCCAAGATAGGCCTTTGTTTATGAAATGTACACAAGGACACATTACTCAATCACTCTCTATTGTTCTTAGAAAATTCTGAAGTTACCTTTTCTTTTTTTTTTTTTTTTTTTTACCTGAGGAGTGCAGGCCCCTCTGTACATACAGGGGATACAGCAATCAAATCTCAAAATAAAGCTAAATCAGAAAATTAAGTTTAGCTCGTTTGAGAAGGGCTAAAAAGTTCAGATTATAAAGTCATTGGACTTTATGACTAACGGCAGATGTTACAGCAGAATGACACTGTTTAGATTAATGTAAATTTCTCCCCAGGATTTTTTTTTTGGGTGGGTGGGGTTTGGTTGTTTCCCACTTCACAGATACCCAGTGAAATAAGATAGCTCAGTTCAAGTACTGAACAACACAAAAATAAAAATCGAAGTCAGAGCCCATCAAACTAAAACTGATCTGTCAGCCGACTCTGAGTTCCGAGTGTTCCTGTTTTGCTAGATGACAATGCACTTCTGACATCAAAACACTGATGGCTTTCCGAAGTGCTGATACACTGCATCCTGCCCAGGTATCAGTCACCTAGGGGAATCTTGCTCCAGCTGTTGAAGCCCTAGGTGCTCCCAGACGGCATCTCCTGTTGTTTTCCTCAGCTTCCTTCTGACTCAGCTTCCTGTCTTCACCACTCGCTCTTCCTGTTGTTTCTGTTTGTCAATTTCCATCATTGCGTCCGTCTTCCCATCAGTTGCACAACTGCCATCTTGTAAGATATTGCAAGCCCAGGAGGGGGAGGGGCAGTGAGGAGGAATTTCAGTTATCACCCTAATAGTAACAGCTAATGCACCCTCACTTAGAATTGAGCATTTCTCTGAGGGTTTTAACTGTAAGAAAGTACCCAGTTGTCACTGCAATCCCACAAGGTCTGGCATCACCTTCGTATTTGACAGCAGGTTTGTTCTCTTGTGTGTTTTGTCATTTTCTATGACCGAATGAGTGCTGTATCAGTGATTGGAGTCCAGAGAAGGCTCTAGAACGAACAACGAACTATAGTGCGTGTATGCCTAAGGTCTGAAGTTGAGCTTAGATGCTTGAAACTTCCTCTGAAGAAGTGTGCCCATGGTATGATGGCTTTTACTGGAGACTCTTCTGTTGTCACCACACGAGCTCTGTCCTGTGCATGTGACTATAATTGGTGTATACAATGTACAGACCATACAACATGATATTTCCCTTTAAAATCTTGGAACAATCTTAGGCCTTAAGAATAACTTCAGTCAACCGGGCGGTGGGGGCGCATGCCTTTAATCCCAGCACTTGGGAGGCAGAGGCAGGTGGATTTCTGAGTTCGAGGCCAGCCTGGTCTACAGAGTTCCAGGACAGCCCCGGGCTACACAGAGAAACCCTGTCTCGAAAAAACAAACAAATAAAAAAAAAAACAAAAACAAAAAACAAAAAAAAGAAAGAAAGAAAGAGAGAAAGAAAGAAAGAGAGAAAGAAAGAAAAGAATAACTTCAGAATAACTTCAGTCAAGTGGTCTTCACATTTTTAGTGTGCTGTGACTGACAGTTATGAATAAATTAATTGGAAGTGACCCACGAAGTGAGTGAAAACACATTTTCCTCAGCTTCAGAGCCCGGTCTATGTCAGTCCTATTTACAAGATGTACAAAGGCCATTTCTCAAATACAGCCAGCCCCACTTCCCCCGGAAGGAAAAGCTAAGATGTTAAATTGAGGAACCAGCAAAGCCTCGGCTCTGTGGTTGAGGCATTGATTCTTATTTTAG